TTTATGTTGACTTGCCAATTGTCCTGCTGGTCTCTGGAGTGGTGAATTTTTCTCTCTGTGTTGCACAAAGTCCATCTCCAGCTGTTCCATTCAGCTCTGGCATCTGGACAGGGGACTATAGCTCTGATTGTGGTGAATAACCAAAAGTGCAGGTGAACAGCAGCTGTGCACTTCTGGTCCTGCTGCTGGCACAGTTGATCCATCCTGTGAAAAACGAGGTTTACATTTTTTTTAAAATAACATTTAAAAAGTTTAATAAAAAGACAATTAGGAGACAGAAATAAAGCAAAATGAACAGACATGGCCAGGTGCCTCAGCATTCAGCTAAGAGCATGCCTTACTAACAAAGGATTGTCCCTTAAAAACACCAATATCTTGCATATTCATAAATGCTTATGTATTATTCAAACATTCCACTTAAGTTTTAGATTTTCCTTTGTTTAGCTTCAACTCCCCCTCCCCAATCAATCAATCAATCAATCTTCTTGGCTCTGTTGAGTCTCACACTCCCTAATAACAGAGGTTCAATAAATTCCTCCCTTGGAGCTCCAGTCACTGCTGTCTTCATCTGGATAATATAATCTAAGAATGCAGGGGGTGGGTTTTCTATCTTTTCATTCTCATTCATATATGAACAAAAGCAGTCTCTATTGTAATACCATACTACTCCCTAAAAATACATATATATGTATTACACCACTATTTTTAAGTTTCATACAGCAAAGTTTCCAACATTATACATATAATATTCATTTTAATATTTGCAAAAAGCCAATAATAGAATATGTATCTATAACAATCTTGTACAACCAAGTCCGAGTGTGTGGTCATGTCACAGCTCCTGTGAGCCCCTGGTGGCACTGTCCATCAGCACTCAGTGCCTGCTTTCATAGCTCTAGTTAAGCCATTTGTTATTTTTTTTCCTCAACATCCAGAACAATGCAGAACAATCTAGAATTTAATCTTGAGATGGTCTTGAGTGTAATGTACAAATCTTTGAATGCATCCCTTAGGAATAAATAGGACATATATTGCTGAATAAAAAGGTTTTCCCCTTACAGCATAAATCAGGTGACTGTTGCTGTGGGACCTGAACTAGGGAGATGTTTATTCGTTTTTCAAGGCCACTTTAAAGCCTCTACTTATTTCTAATCAATGAGCCATTGCAAGCTTTTATGTTTTGTTTTCAGCACTCCTTCAGTGCAGAGTTCCTGTTAAAAAGGCAGCTCAGACAGCTGTAATGTGTTGTCACTACATTTAATGGTGGAGATGAATGTACGCCAGGCCAAGGAAGAGCTGCTCTGTGTTTTAACCCATCCACTTGGTGACCTTGGGAATAGTCTGACTCCCTCCCAAAGCTCAGTAGTGAATTTTTAAATGGTTGCTGCAGGGTGTAAGCTTAGTAATCTCTTTTTTTCAGATCTGCTCAGGTAGAGTTGGAGGCTCTGTTGTATGTTTGGAGACATCCCAAACTGTGTCCAGCAAATACCCACAGTATCACCCTTGCTGACTCTAGGATGCTTCACCCTTGAAAAGTGGGAACAGACTCTGACCTACCTTTATTTCCATGTAGAAGACCCAAAGTGGTAGAATGAAAGGTATCAATAAAAAGTAGGCTGTGGGGACAAAACTGTGTTGTGGGTTTTTTTTCTGTACACAGTATTTTTGGTTTTCACTGGTTGATGGGCAGCTGAGTTGACTTTAAAACTGCTGCTGTCTACAGGGGTAAGTCTTGTTCTGCCTTTATTGATTAATTTAATAGAAAAATTAAACCCCTATTTTCTTCTGCTGCTGTAGCAACTGTTTCAGTAACCTCAAGGAGTTGACTGTAAAAACTATATTTTCAAACACATCAGTTCTCTGAACCTCACTGCACATTCTTAAGTGTTAATGCTTATACAAGGGACATGAGTAGCTGTTGGGCTTCAAATTTCTGCAAGGGCAGATCAGCAGTCTCAGTTTTGACTAGATTGAAATGATACAGAATCACAGCCTTAATCCTTAAATATTCCACATGAAGCATAAACATATACTAGTACCTGTGGGGACAGAGCATCATCAGTTAAAGAAATTTGCCATTAAATTTATCACCACATTCCCCCCCCCACTCTCATCTGTGGCAGAGAAGACACTGCCAATTTTTCATTTCCTACTTTCATTCAAGGAAAATAAGGAATCCTGCTGACAAAGAGAGCATATCCAGGAATAGGAAAATGTTTCTGCATGCAACCAGAAGCATCTTTTAAAGGAAATACAGCTGCAGGATCTGTACTAGTTACTGCTGCAAAGACAGTGAGGCTGGTCTTGGGCTTCTGAATATACATGATGGTCTCTCTATGATAATGGCAGCTTTTCCAAGTCTGAGTGTGTTCAGACAGCACTGCAAAACCTTACATTGCCTCCCTGAAAAAACATAAATGTGTCTAGGACAGATGAAGAGGCTTTAGGTTTTTTCAGACATGCTTCTTGTGAGGGGCATGCTGAGTAAAATGACAAAAAGCCTTTCCTCTAGGTCACAACTGCTCTGATGCATTCACCTGAAGAGCCTTCTGCTTCTCCTAAACAGGAGAAATATCAGAGCCTTTACCAGAGCTTTATTTCTTCTCTATTTGCAGCTAGGAATTAATGTTATTGAGAGATGTGAGAGAACAGTCAGTAATGAGAGCAGCTTTTGGGAAGTGATTACTCATTTGTCCTAGTGCACAGGATTTGTCATAGTGCACAACACCACAAGCAAGTAGTGAGGTATTGCATACAGGCAGGAGGATTATGGGAGTAAATAACCCCAATGTCTACTGAGCTTTACATCATGTTACAGAATAATTGATCATGTATTGTTTCCTTGCCAAAAATAAGTACTCACCCAATGTAATATAAGTTATTCAACTAAATGAGAGTTTTGGTGGAACTCTTACGAAAAGGACTGTGTTCCTTGTGACAGGTGGTTTTCCTCGCATCCTCTTAAGATGCCAAGAAAAGATGCTTTTCCCACAAAAGATCTTAGGATGCTTTTTCTACAAAATCCAGCATTTGATACTGGCAATCCAGTTTATTATAAAACAGTACATAGTGTCCCTGAAGAACCTTCCGGCATCAAGATCTTACAGAAGGACAGGGTGTTACTGTCTTTTGTGTTGTTCACTTGGTTGGGGTTTTTTATTTTGAAGGATAATGGAGTAAGTGCAATGTAATATTTGTTTGGTATACGGAAATCTTATGGCCCTTTTCACAGTTATGGATGCTAATCATGCCATGTGATAGGGCTATAACAAATAGAGTTGCTGGATCCTTGCAGATAAAAGCATGTGGAAGATGTATTTTATTGCTGTAATTTAGCTTGCAAGAGTTAGATCAGAGCCACTTCCTACAGACTCATTTGGATGCTTTAGTATGAAATCCACTCAGGCGGAAAGCTCTTACATCCACAGATCTTTGACCATTTGATGAATTAACGGCAGAGTAAGTTGTGAGGAAAACAGGATATGAGAGCTGCCCTCAAATCTGCAGTTAGTTACCTGCACATCTCTGTGTCCAGCACCTGCCTTCCAGACAATTCTGGCAAAGTCTAGTCTAGAGCTGGGAGCCGTATCCGTATCCTTCTTTTAGCTGCCAAAGGGTATGGCTGAACTTCTGTAGAAATAGATTGCAATTTCTATGGACAAGATAGTGAATTCTGTCAGCAAGAAGTGACAAGTTTACTTTGCACTGATATTGCATGTTATAAAGAGACAAGTCCAATATTAAATAAAGTACAGAGGGAAACTTTGGTGGTTAAAATAAGCAGGGATTATTAGCTCATGAATTGCCAAGTGTTGTCCACAGTGGTCAAGTTTTGTCAATAATGAGTGCTTAATTTTCTTGAGGACTAGAACACCATTTCAGTATTCTAGCTTTTAAAAAAGTAGGTAACTTGTAGATGGATATTGGACTTGAAAGTTTTGGTTTCTTCTAAGCTTTTCTTTATGAGTGCTCTTAAGCTGCTTTTTCTGTTGTATTTAGAAGCATCTTTTTAGCTGCTATTTACAATGGAGAAATCAGTTGCTAGAGAGGGAAATGGCTATTGCATCTTAAATTACACAGTATTTATGAAATATCAGGGTGAGCTGTGGTTAGCAGCTGAAATGTGCTGAGATCAGTGGATATCCAATTTCTGTTATGGCACAAAATATAGCTGTGCAGGATAAAGACATCAGCTTCCTACAATGCAGAAGAAATGTGTTTCTGTGTTTGATTTCATGTGCTCTTTGTGGCACATCATAATCATAAGAGATTTACATAATAAGATCTACAGATGCCTGTAGATTATTTCCTTTTAGTTTTTGAGTTTATTTACACACAGAGACCTGAAGTAGTTCAGTTGGGTGTGGGGCTGGCTGCAGGGCTGCTGCAGGTAAAGCTGGGGAAATGAAGGGGTTGCTGAGGCATTGCTTCCTGTATTACTGCTTTGTTTATATTCTGCTGTTAAAACATGGTAATCTCTAGATGTAAATGTTAGCATGCCTAGTGAAGTGAGTTGGCAGGATTTTTCATTAGAAGTCACAAGATACCTCTTTATAATGTACACAAATAGTACATGTGCCCTACTGAGAGATCAGAATACACTGTGTTAATACATAGGACATGACAAAGGGGCTACTTTCTCTCCTAAGCAGTTTATGAATTAGGTATAAGACTAAACTTCCACATATAAGAATTGCATTTCATGGTATATTCCTTGTTTTAGACCTTCTGTGTACATACCTGGCAGTGCCTAAATGTTTCACACAGTGTGAAACTCTGCTCAGTTACAGCTGCTGAGTTATAGCTCAGGCTGTTGGTAGCAGTTATGCTGGATACTGCATCAAAGCCCTTTTTTCACAGAGATGGGAATTTGGTGGGCTCAAACTTGTGCACTAAAGTCAACGATTAGAGCTGCAAGACAAATTTGTACCTGATTATGGTCTGAATGGAATTGGTTATTTAAAATTGGTTATTGGCTCTCTGTTTCTGCTTGTTTACAGGTTGCACGGCCGATACTATGAAATGGCACCAAATGTTGTGCCCATGGATTATACAAAGGACCCAGATGTTAAACTACCTATGCAGCTTATAATAAACATGCCTGAGCTAAAGGTATCACTTCTGACTGCTTGCAAACTTATCTTGTATCTTAACTTCTGTAGCTCACCTGCCAGACTTTCTGCCAAGATTGATATCCAGAAGTTCAGTGGCATGCAGAGGTCTTCTTGTTTTTGTTCAAGGGTAAAACCAGCCCCAGAAACTGGAAAATATTTAGGTGAATGTCTTTTTGCAGAGATAGTCAGGGTAAATGTTAAAGGAAATGAATAGGAAATAAAACTAAATTTAGCAATCTTTGCCCTTTGTGTATATCCCTCACAGAAGCCCCATCCCCACAGGGATCTCTGTGTGAAGAGCTGGTTAGAAATCTGAAGTTCTTATCTCAGTCTGTTCATAGGAAATTTGCTAGCAGGGTGCAGAATATTGCTAATAAAAGTTTTCCCCTTTTTTTTCAACTACCTGAGCAAAATAAATATTTTTATTAATTATCAGGAGTTTTCATTTTCTTGGGGCCACTACATGATAGGAAGTGGAGACACAGTCCATGTAACTGCAAATGAGAGAAGCAGTAGGTATAAGGCAATCAGTGCAAAAAAACATAAGACACTATTTTTTTATTCTCAGTTTAACAACTTAATAATTTATGATTTTAAGAGGACAAATGTGGACTTTTAGCATTTCTTTCTTAAAAAGTAAATTGAATTATGTTGTGTTTTGTCACATAGTCTATTTTTTATGTATGCTAGTCAATTGATGTCTATAAATTACTATAATGTGGAAACAATTATGTGTTCAATCTGATAGTTGTGTAAACCATTATTAAGCTTTTTAAGAACAATGCTATAAAAACCTTGTAATTGATGTCTTTCCACTTAATTTTAATGATCTAGAAATTCTTCCTTAGTGTTGTAATTTTTTTCAAATATCTGATATTTTACAAGCAGAAGCCATGCTTTAGAAATTCAGTTATGGAGGACACTGAGTCAACATGAAATGAAAAACATTTGAATTAGATTACAAGTTGAAGTTCATGGAACTCTTTGTTCCTTAAGTAACACACTTGCTATATGTTTGATTCTGGGATAATATAATTTATTGAACAAGAAGCACATTTTGTTAATCTATGTGTGTTAAAAAGTGTTTGACCAGCATTTCGTATAAATGGAAACGTTAAACACATACAAGCATTTAATTTAATAGAAAACCTTGGGAAAAAAATTATTCTTCATTTATTCTTCAGACTCTGGTTTAGCAGATGCCTATGGACAGCCTGGGTTTCTGAAGAAGCTGAGAAATAATTTAGAATTCTTTTTCACAGTAAGCATGGGCTTGTTCAGCAGAATATGTTTATGTTTTTTCTAATGGCATCAGTATTACTTAGGGATTATGTTATCATCTCTGAGATCTTGGTAGCACATCATGAAGTCCTTTGGCACAGTTCTTTGACTCCTCAGAGTTTAACTGCCAGACGACTGAGAGTTGCTTTGTGACAAATCAAGGCTAAGCTTAGAAAAGAAAGTGAGAAATTATGATCACACAGAGTCTTTTTGGCTTCAGTGATAGAGGATTGAACACTTCAGGAACAGCTCATTCTATGAGAACTTTCAAGTTGGAAGGCCTGGTACTGAAGCTGATGTACAAACCAGAAATTTCATACAGGATCATGTTTAGATTGAGATACAGGAGCATAGCAAACTTGGGTGGTAATGATAGACTTCCTAAGAGGCTTCCAGGTATGAAGTGGATCATAATCTATCTCCTGGCACCACAAGTCTGCGAGGCTTTCTGACCCTGCTTTAGAAGATGTCTCCAGGTAATGGAACTTGGCTTTATGAAAGTAACAGGACAAACTCAGTGTTGAGTTTTATACAAGTTGTCTCTCAGGTCTTGTAAGTCTGCAGAAGAACCTTAGAAATATTGGTGTCAAACCACTTATTTCAGGAATTCTAGGAGCTCACAGAGAAAAGCGCTTTCAATAGCAACTGAGCTTGTTTCCAGCAAAATCTTAGTAAGAGGAGACTAGGTCTTATTCCATAACTCTTTCAAAGCATTGACACTAAGAGATGTTTAAACACCTGAGATCTTTGTTATAAACTGGGGTACATCTTGCTCATGGAGCATCTTTTGGGCACCTGTGCAGACAGGGGTGAGAGGGAGAGTCTTTCCTCAAGAGTTTATTTTGGAAACAACCTAGGTATTAACTTCAGCTCATACACTAAGAAAAAAAACTTTTACCTTTGCAACTTGACCAGTCTGCCTAACAAATCATTATGGTGTTTTCTTTCTTCAGTGAATTTTCATCAAGGTGAAGACAAAGACAACATTTACATCTTAAAATAGAAATAAATTACCTTAATGTCTATTGAATTCTAATAAAATTAGTGCTCATTTCAATGCACCTGGTTTTTTTCATATACACATTACATTTCTAGTTACTGGCAATGTTGAGCTCAATACCACTGCAGGTTCTGACAAACGGATAGAATCAATAATGCACTTTTCTAAATTAGATTCTGCTAATATAAAGAAAGATCTTTACCTCATGCATTAATGTTTTGAGCCAGGGTTTTTGTGTTTCAAGGGGAAAAAAATGCTGGTGGTCATTCACTTTAATTGGTAATGCATTATTCACTAACTCCTGATTCTTAAAAGTTGAAAGTTGGGACAAGACATAAATAAATAAAGAAGGGGAAGGTACTTAAAGTTAATTAGGTCTACCATTACACTGAAGTTAACAGGACTACTTTACTCCATCAGTTTCATTGCAGTCTCTGTTCTCTAATTTTCACAATCTTGGTTACACAGGCACCAGTCTAATAAATTAATTTTGGGGCATCTGGACACCTGTGAGATTGCACTAATTAATATAGCAAAACTATAGCCATGATATGGACTGCTCACTGGGAGACCAGGGAGAAAGCAAAAGTGATGTTTTTTCAAATTAAAACTGATTTATTTTTAATCGGTGGCTTTTCTGGGGGGCTGTCATTGCCACAGAGCTGCAGGTGGGAATGTAACCTGGTGCCAGAGGCCCTTGTGGTTGATAACAGTGATGGGTGTCCATATCCACATCCCAGATTACCTCTTCCCCAGACTGTACTCTCTGTGGGCACTGCAGTGCAGAGCAATCCTTCCCTCCAGAGCTGGGCAGCAAAGGGCTGCTGGACTGGAACCATTTTTGTTTCACTCACTTTACAGTCTGTTGCTTCCTGTGCTTTGGCTCACACAGGAACTTCATTGATCCTCACAGGCCTTGTCATAGGCTGCACTGGGGAGGGAGGTAGTTCATAAATCCACTGCTGAAACAGGATGGGCAGCAGGCACAGGAATCAGCCAGGAGCCAGCAAGGACACATAGGGAACAGTAACTCCATCACACGTTTCAGAACCAATGTTAGTTACCACACTATTTATAGTAAGTTTAAACGTGAATACAAGTGAGCTGCTTGAAAATAAAAATACTTCCCACAGTGTTAATAGGATGAGGTTTTAGAAATTATTTCAGTGACTCTTCAGATTCAAAGCTTTCCATCTAATGAGCAGTAACACCTGAGAGAGCAGGGTGAGCTTCCCAAGCCCCAGTCCTGCTCTGGCTGATCTTTGCTTCCAGCTCATCTTAACATCTTTGCTGCATTCTGTTAATTGTTTCTAGTTATGATGGGATGTTTTACTCCCTTCAGATCACTCTCCTTGCTTCTCTGAAGTCTCTTTATCTGAGCATCTCTGCTGTGTGTATGTGTACTCCAAATATCATAAGCGAGGGCTGTTTTCTCTGCATTGAACCCTTGCCTGCACCTCCCCTGCAGCATTGTCTGTGCACTTCCCTGGCACAGTCAGGAATTGGTTCTTGTCACAATGCCTTATCTTCCCCTGAGGTACTGGTAGGTTCTGGAATATTTAAGCAATTCTGTATACAGCCTGAATCTTTGTTTTTTTAGCTGTTGTGACTTTAGTAAAGAGTCATTGCTGAACTTTGCTTTCTGACAGAACAAAATGGTCTTTTCTATTAAAACATAAACTCATCAGTTTACCTTAAACAGAACCCTGCAGGCACAGCAGAGAAGTTTGAGGATGTTAATATAATCACAGACACATAAAACCCAAGTTATTGATTTTGAGGAAGAAGAAAATGAAGAAAGAAAGCCCTGCAAAGAAACTTGCTTTTTTCTGCTCCAGGGAAAATTTGCTGTTGCACTTATGCTTCCCTTCAGAAGCAGCAGTGTTTCCAATGGAGCTTTGGTAATGAACAATTTAGCCACTTTTATATTAACGTTTGTCTGACAGCAAATTTTTTTTCAGTGGGGGGGGGTGGTAGGTTTTTTTCGTGGTTTGTTTGTTTGTTTGTTTGTTTTGGAATAACTCCTGCAAAATAGACTGCTTTGTGCTTTTAAATATATTCTCTAAAGTCAGTGGGGACTTTTGTTCAAATACAAAAGGGAAAATCATCATTGTGTTTCTGTGGATATGAAAATTAAGGAGCATTTTGTAATGACTCCAGTACTTTCACCTTAATCACCTTGACCTTTCTTTGAACTTCACTTACAACCTCTTATTTCCAAAATGCAGTCAGCTTGTGGGAATAGGATTGGATGCTTGAAATGAATTCCTCAAACTACAAAACAGATAAGTCAAAAGGCCACCAGAGTGCTTTCCTAGAGTATGGGATGGAAACTAGAGGACAGAGGAATATAACAGGTGATTAAACTGCAATGCCAGGAATAAACCCTCTAACAGTTTGTTAGAAAACTAATGGTTGTGTTTTATTGTAAGCTGTTATAGGTCTGTATGCTGGAGTAGATGCTGTGTGAGATTTAAAAATGAATAGAAACACGATTATCTGAGTGAAATAAGTGTTCCTTACAAAGATGGATTGCACATTTATGATTCTCTTGAGCCACTACAGGAACAACATCAATCTGCAAAACAGCAGAGTTGTTTTTCAGTTGTAGCAGTTCTTTATTGTTTCTGTCCCCCCTCTCATTTTTATCATGAGTGTGAAAATGAGGTTCACATTTTTTAAAATAACATTTAGAAAGCTTAATAAAAAGACAATTAGGAGACAGAAATAAGGCAAAATAAAGAAATACTGCCAGGTGCCTCAGCATTCACCCAAGAGCATGCCTTACTAACAAAGGATTTGTCCCTTAAAAACATCAATCTCTTGCATATTCATAAATGCTTATGCATGACTCAAACATTCCTCTTAAGTTTTAGATTTTCCTTTGTTTAGCTTCAACTCCCCCTCCCCAATCAATCAATCAATCAATCAATCTTCTTGGCTCTGTTGAGTCTCACACTCCCTAATAACAGAGGTTCAATAAATTCCTCCCTTGGAGCTCCAGTCACTGCTGTCTTCATCTGGGTAAAATAATCTAAGAATGCGAGGTGGGGGTTCTGACTATCTTTTCATTCTCATTCATATATGAACAAAAGCAGTCTTTATTTTAATACCATGCTACAGCCTAATATATATATATATGTATTACACCACTATTTTTATCAATAACAGAAATAAAAGAAACTATATTAATACAGCAAAGTTTTCCAACATTATATATATAAAACATTCATTTTATTATTTGTGAAAACCCAATAATATAATATGTATCTATGACAATGAGAGTACAGAAAAAGCTTTTTAACACAAGTGTAAGTTTCTAGTTTTAAAAGGAATCTTTTTTCAACAATTAGTGCTTCTGGGAAAGCAATCTAGGAAAGAACAATATCATTTTCCCCTTCACTCCCTTCCCCCATGGCTCTTCCTTTAAATATGATGGAACCCTAATCTCTGCTCTTAAGAGTAGAGGTAATGAAATTACAGGAAGGATGTGAAAAGTATCTGTGAAGGTAACCTAATACTTTCCATTGTGTAAGCCACAGATATACTGCCTGGAGACACATAATATGAGAAAGTTAAAGGAAAGAAATCAATATGAGGAAAGATTTTATTTTTCATTTTGGTTTTAGAGATCCATTTGGCAAAGAGTTACTTAAGAAGTATGCTTAGGTTCATTTAATTAATTCTTAATTTATCTGTATTTTCAAGATCTCTGACATGCCAAATAAATAACTCATCTTATGCAACTGCCATATGTTTATTGAGTCAGTGAGATCCCGCCCCAGCCTTTCTAAAGCATGAAGTCCTGGGCTTGATATTCACTGCTGACAGGGATATTTGCATTTGTGGTGCTCCTGGTTTGTTACCCAATGCTGCCTCTAAGATGTCAGTTTACTGCTGTTACCATGACACTTACTTCTGATCAGGTTTGTTCCAAAGAAAGCTATACAGCATTTTAGAAATGAAAAATAGATTTCTGACATGTTTTGATGTCCATTCTGATGTTTGACATTCTTAATTATTAAACATGAAATACAGAAATTTTTTGTGTGCTTTTAGGAGGAAAGTGGGCCTTTTAATATACTTCAGCCCAAATAAATCTTACTTTGGCTTATTTATAAACTGGCAGTTTGAAAAAATAGAACCAATTGTTCTTCCCTGCATGTCTGTGCATGCATATCCCACCAACAAGTATATGTGTATTACCACAGGTAAATGCCAAAAACAGATAAATGTGTATTCCACAAATATTTCCAGGCATTTAAGTGAGATACTTTAGCCTGAGCAGTACCCACAGATGCACACCTGCTGTACCTACACATCATTCATGAGACACAAGTGATCACTACATAACCTTTAACAGTGAGGTTCCCTCAGCCATCTGGCTGGGTCTGGGGTGTTATTTTTCATTCTCAGGCTCTGGAGAGATGTGACCCTGCTGCTTTTTGAGGCTGCTTTTTATTTTCAGGAATCCTTCTATTCTATTCTATTCTATTTGGTTTTATGTGGCCTGGTTTTGTCTTCATCTGAAGAGTGAACTTGTCAATCTCCTATCCTTTGCAATCTGTAGGCCTGTTCTCTAATGTGAATTCCTTCAGTCATCAAACCCTGCAGGAGAATTTTTATTTAGTATTGACTAATTTAATGGGCTTTCATTTGAGCCTAAGGTTCTGTGGTCCCTAATTCACCTGTCCATAAAAACAGCCTTGTTCTTGGCCCTTAGTCTCCACAGTCATGCCAAAAATGTAATCTATGGATACTGTTGTTCTATGTGTGAATTATCAAGAAAGAATTCAAGTAAACTGAAAAATAAAATTTTTTGGTAATTTGTCTCTCAAGTTTTTCTGAAATTTCATTTAAAATAATTGGATGGTTTATGAATACCTGTTAGGTAATTAAATTTACAGGGGGAAAAAAAATAATGGATATATGATTGAACTTCTGATCTTTCACAGTATGGCTTCTTTAAAAGCCAAACAAAATGCTGCATGCATATTAAAACTAGTGAATTTGATATACCACCACCACAGCTGTATGTATTTATGGATCAGTATGTTAATCAGTATCTTCAGATAAAATCTGTAGTAAAATGAGATGCTGCTCGCAGCCCAAGTGATGTTTGTGTTCTGTTCATATTCAACTAAACTGAATTGATTTTCCAAGTTTTATCGATGCAGCTACAAATTATTGTTGGGGTTTTGTATAGCCCTGAGAAAGATGATAGGTTTTTACTGTAAAAACATTTGTTTTGGATTTCATAGTAATAAAGCAGGCTTTCTTATGCTTGCTTGTGAGTTTATGGTTTTAGAATATTGTCTTATTCTAAGGTGCTAGAAATTACTTCAGGATCATCTCCTGTGGAGATTAAATTTCATTTAAATCTCTGGAATTTTTAGTCAGTCCAACCAAAGGCTGGACATTGACATGTATCAGTGAAAATAAAAGGCCAGAAGTGGTACTATGCAGCAGGAAGGACTGCTGAAACTTCCTTCTAAAGCATACAAATATAAGGGTTTTCTTGTATTTTTTTTGGAAAAAAATAAAAAAATGTCTTTAAAGAGACAACTATGCAATTAAATAGTCATTATCAGGGAGTCTGCAGGTTTTTTCATCTTCCAAGTAACAATCTATATATTTCTCACAGGAGAATCCCTTCAAAGAAAGGATTGTGGAGTCTTTCTCAGAAGATGGAGAGGGGAGCCTGAGCTTCAATGACTTTGTGGATATGTTCTCCGTGCTCAGTGAAATGGCTCCCCGAGAGCTTAAAGCAATCTATGCCTTCAAGATCTATGGTACTGTATGGAGGGGCTCTGGTGTGCTTTTTGTGCTTGGAGTAAATGAGTGGGACACTTGGTGATCTTTGGTTCTTCTATTGTTTAGATTTTAATACAGATAACTTCATTTGTAAAGCAGACTTGGAAAAAACTCTCAATAAGCTGACCCGGGAAGAGCTGACAGCAGAGGAAATCACTCTGGTTTGTGAGAAAGTGATAGAAGAAGCTGACATGGATGGTGATGGGAAATTAGGATTTGCAGATTTTGAAAACATGATTTCCAAGGCACCGGACTTTCTCAGGTATTATTTTAAGAAAAAGAGAGTCTCCTGCATACTTGCAGATATTTTTTTAGGATATCACTGTACAATCTAATACAAGAAGTGTCAGACATAAGTATTGTACTAGAGACCTGACTAGGGGATGACTTCTTACCTAACTCAGTTAAGTCTTCTGGGGCATATTCCAGTTCTTTCCTAAGTTAAGACTAAGAGCTCAATGACTTTTAATTATCACCTTTCCTGCCCCTCCACCCCTCTTAGTGCAGTTAAGGAAAATATTTTGATCCATTATCAGTTCAAATTCATATTTTTCTTAAGCCTATAGCAAGGATTCCAGTTGTCTGCATATGAATGTGTGTAAATATTGTATACATGTTGCAAATATAGATGGAAACACATTGATCTCTGCTGAGAAATGAAAGTGTTTTTTGAAGAACTATAAATTGTCCTGCAGAACACAGAATAGTATTTATTTCACAAATTAAACTGCTGATGAAAGATGTTAAAGGGATTCAACAATAAAGCAGGAGCACATGATTCCTGTGAACCTTGAGAAACATCACCTTCTGGAGAGGAGACAGTCAATGTGAATGTCTTTTATACATTTCAGGTATTCCTTGACTAATCAAGTGTATCAACAGAAACCCCTTTAGAACAAGATATATATCATCATTATGGTGAGGCTCAGCTCAGTAGGTATTCTAATATTTTGTTTACAGATATTTCCAGCTAAGAAAACATTTTCTTTATATCCTTTATATCCATGTAGAAACTGCTGGGGTCAGGTAGAGTTTCTTTTAATCAATCAAAAGGCTGTGCTGCTCCTACAAATCTGGTAGAGAACAGTGATCAAATGTGAAGAATTGAAGACAGAACTGAAGATTCAGCAGAAGCTGCAGTTTCAGGAGTTTCCTGTGCCATGACTGACTTTACTGCTGTGTTGTAGAGCCTTGCAAACTGCTGACTGCGAATTCCAAGCTGAGGATGCTGTGCAGTCCAGTCATTTCCTGAGAAGGCTGCAGAGAGGAATGTTCTTCAGTGTAGCCACTGGAATGACTGTCACAATTATTTTTCTTTTCCAGTTTGGTGATGGTCTGGAAAGATGAGGAAATGAGTGAAAATCACTGAGTACTGGGTATTCAGCAGGGCAAAATGATGAGTAAAAAGTGAGATGAAGTGAGATGTATTTTATAGATTAGGTAAGAGAATGTGGAGAGTACCAATAAAATCAAAGGACAAGGCTACCAAATATTAGAAAACTGAGCATCCAGTTGCTCAGTTTAAACATGCACTTGGATCCATGTCTGTGACAAAATATCTCCTTCATGTTTAAGATGGTCATGTGCATATTTAAGGTAGATGTTTGGCATCCCTGCCTTCCAGAGGACTCATAACTTCCTTCTCCTTTCAGGGTCAGGAGTTTAGCTGGTTTATGGGATTCATCTGAATCCTCAGGCTCCTGATGATATAAAGAAGGGTCTCCTTCCACCTCCTAACCAAAACACTGTTTTAGGCTCTCTGATCAGGCAGTTTCTATATAATAGCAGCCTCTGTGGGGGTAACAGTACAAAGAAAATAATTTCTTAGCTGGAAATATATATAAAGAAAATATTAGAATCCTCTGAACAATCTGATGTTTCTCATGGTTCAGCAACATGTATCTTTGAAATCATATTGGAAAATGAGAGTGTAATGGAAAAAGGTCTCAGAGTTGAGAATGTGTAGGATCTCTAGTTTGGTTTCTGTTCTAATCTGAGTTTACAGCTGCAGGAAAAGAAAGTGACAGGGTCATGAGGCTACTTTTATCCAAGCCGATTCACATGGAAGATTTGATACCTCTGCCTTCCTCTGGTTTACTGTTCATTTTGTCTGTAAAGGTGTCTTATTTTTTAGGACATTGTTAGCTCTAGTTTTCCTGTATGCACTGCATCACAGAGCAACATATTTGTTAATACTGAACTTCCTGTTCTGAGGAACTTATTCTAATTTTTAAAATTCTGTACATATTGCATTCTAAAGAGAGATTTGACTTTTGGAATGGGATTCATTGATGCTTAATGCCACAATAGATTCACCAAAGTCTGACTGGGGCTGAACCTAAACAAGCACTCTGGCAGGAGCCAGTGCCTGCTAGCAGTGACAGACTTTGACATGGGACAAGAATGCAATTCCTGTAGGTGATCTCCCACCACAAAAACCCCAGTTCCTGTTCATTAAATTCAATTGTGCCATAACAGTCTAGGACAGATTACCTATTCATTTACTGAAACAATGCTTTCTTACCTCTTTGTGAATTAATCTCCAGCTCTATTCCTGGCCTCTCATTTTCTTCTGAGTCTTCAGTGTAATGGCTGTCTTAAATGATAGCCTTGGGCTGTGTGCAGCCAAAGGGCAGGGAGGGCTGTGCAGCTTCACTGGATAATCTAATACAGAGCATGCAAAGCACAGGAAGTGTCTTAATAGCAGATCACCAACCCTATATGCCAGTGGTAAACTGAACTAGCTTCTTACTATTACAAAAAAGATACAAAAACATGTTTTCACCTAAAAGAAATTGTCCATTTGAAACCTTAAGCAGACATGTGGAAGAAATATCAACCCATCAATGTCCAATGACAGTCACAATTACATTTGTTCTTGTATATCTCCACTTCTTAAGCCCAGCTGAATGCATTCCAGAATTTAAATTCAAGGAAGCCCAAGAATCTAATGATATACATTTCCAGCTGCTTAGCAACTGTGAAAATGGCACACTGAGGAACCAAAGCAATAACCACATTGCAAATGATTGCCAGTGAGCAACTGGAGATGCTGGGTAACTGAAGTTTGCAGGGATTTTTGCTGTGAAACCACAGGCAGTCAATATTTCTGAATATCTGATCCCAGAATACCATCCTGGCACCTGGTATGAAAGCCTTCTGAAAATGCTGAATAACTTGCAAGACCCCAGATGATTTTTATCATAAATAAAGGATTTCTTACTCTGTTTGTTTCCTTTTCTCCCCACCAAAGCTACCTCTTCATATTATAAAAGGGGGAAATGTAGGATTCCAGGCAGTTTTGTCCCTGGCTCTGCCATTGCTTTAGTCAGTGATCTATATGAAGCCAAAGAATACTGCATTATTGGTTGTTGGTTGGTGTTTTCTTGCTCAGAACTTTATTATATAGTGCATTCAAAACTCCCAGGTCTAGAAAACTGATTGGTTGAGATTTTAACACCACCCAGTTCCTTGACCAGGGATATGTCTGCTTTCTGGATTGAACATGATTGGCTGAGGTCCCTGCTTGGGTTTGAATCTAGCCCATCCCTGCCTTATCCAGGGACTTGTTTTGCTTCTAGGATGGTTGAGTTTGGGCATCCAATATATTGAGAAACGGCCAGTTTATTCACCAGCCTTCACAGAAGTAAATGTGAACACCGTTTATTTCTATCTTTAGCACACCTTTTATAGGGTTTTACAGGGTCTGCAGGCAGAGCAAGCTACTATTGGCTAACACACACAGTTTACATTTTTTTCTCCTACACACAAGGATATTGTTTTGCTTTACTTTCTCTTCTGCAGGCAAGTTTCAAGGATTTTAGCCCTTAATATCACAACTTCTTTCAAAGGCTGGTTTGTGCATACAGGCCTTCACTAATATATAAAATATATCAACACCAATATGGGCAAATTTATTTGGCAGCTACAGGCTAGCTGCAACCATGACTATAGAACATCTTTCCTCTCTGCTCTCTAACATGGGACCAGTGATCACCCAACTTCTGACAAACATTGAGATCCAGCTGTAAATTATCATTATCATCAACATGAGATTTGAAGTTACTGAGGAGGAATATCTTTTTTACTCTGTGGAAAACCCTTTGATGGCCAGATTCTTATAGCAATATGCACTCAGGTTTTGAAGCACATTTTTTATACATGTTGGTTTTTTTTAAGCTGTCACATTATGACACCTTCTTAACATACACAGCAGGCATTAACTTTGGCACCATGATCCAGACTTAGATCTGCTATGAGCTGAAGTTCATCCACTCTATGTTGATTGATTATCCTTATCACTCCTTTCTCAAACCTTTACTTAATGACCCTGTGTGGGTTTAATCTACAGACAGCCTTTACCAGCTTTGTGCTGCTGTCAGGCAAATGAAGATGCAGTAAAGTCTGTTGCTTGATTTGCATTGCTGTCATTGAGGAATTATTTCCAGACTAGAAGAAAACACTGTTAACCATTAACCAGGGAAGATCTATGCAGTTGGCTGCTATCCTAGAAGCTGGACTAAAATGTAAATGATAATGACAGTTACTAGTTCAGAAAATTTGATCTCAGTGGTTTTATTTCACTCAAAATTGTTATCATTAAGAAGCTGCTTGTAGTTTAATGGTAGGATTGGCAGATTGAGCTGGCACTAGCTAAGTGTTCTGTTCTACAAGACTGGTTACATTTTCCACAGGAAATTATTTTATAAATCATCCTGGAAGTTTCAGCTTATTTGAATGCCTGAGGGTGAAGCATGCTGTAACAATATGTAATGGGGTTTGAGAGGAATATGACATTAGTAATACCTGGGAGCTGCCAGAAGGGAAACAACACATTAAACATTGCAAATGCAATATTTCTGAAACTGCTGTGGGTCTTTGCCCAGCCACCAGTTGATGTTGTGACCCCAGTCCTACCAAATGCTGAAGTAAAGGAAGCTCACTTTTAGGGAATGTGCATCTCATAAGACTGTCCCAACATGCAGATTAATTAGTTCTTGAGGACTAATATTAGAGCTAGTGACTAATTGGCAAGAGATGCTTAGCAAAGAAACAGTGGAAGGCAATAATCAGCTGGTTCTTAGTAAAAAGCTGAATCTCCAGAGGGCAAAATGACACTCTGATAAAAATAGAACTTTTTTTTCTAATAAACAGATTTCCAGTTAGGTAGATTTGGATGGATTTTTTTTGGGAATCATGCTTCAAGTGTTTTCACATACAATGTGATGGATTTTTAGCTCCTAGATATTAACTGCGTGGGAGTTAATTTTTTAAGAGCTTGTATTTATATAGTCTCTAGGCATTTCTTAAATTGTGAACAAGATATTTATAACTCTTTTATTTAAAAAACCTTAGTGCCAGTAAACTAATTCCATCACTGTCTGCCTTCTCTCACAGTGCTTAGGTTGGTGTGCCAGGCTGCTATACACCCTATCTTTTACTGTCACTCAGATTGAATAAACTCCTAAAGTTCCTAGGGACCATGGTGAATATGAAATTTTATCTCCTCCAAATACATACTACAAGCTTCATTTAGTGAGTTTCTGATTCAAATCTAATAGCTGTAATTAAGTTAGAGTATTCTTTTGGTAAAAAAAAATCCAAAGAGTGCATCCAGAAAGTTTGCAGCCTCTCAAATGTTCCAAAAAGAACAAAAAGGTTTTCTTTCAGTGTAGGCAACAAAATAACAGAATTTACATACAAAACCACATAATAATCTCTCCTTAGTCAGTCATGAAAGAAAGTTGATATTGTCATGACATTTAACAGATTGCTGCCTATAGGCAGTGAGGTTTCAGCATAGCCTCTTTAAATTGTCACTCCCTGTCCTGCTGAGATGCTCAGGCACTCTTCTAAAGCCTGGTGGCAGTTGTAAGCCATGCTGCCTGCCTATATTAAAGAGCAAATAAAGGATAACAACCAGGATTGCTTTGGCCCAACAGGAGAAATAACCTTACCTGCCTGACTTGTCTTGGTTAGGACCCAAATGCTGTACCACAGCAAAAGTACCATTGGGACACACTTAGCTCTGCTCTACATCCAATAAATTGGGTAATTTATACTTCCTTTAATCTAGTATTGAGCTTAGCCCCTGAGCTAACATTTTCAGAATATGGAATTTTCTCCCATGAGATTTAAATCATCTCAAAGCCTGAAAGTAGAAAGTAATTTTTTTTTTTTTTACACAGCACCTTCCTTCTTGTACCTTTAAGGAAATTTTTTTGCATAATGACAAATGTGTTGTATGTCTTAATCTTTTTCTTTCTTTTCCAGTACTTTCCACATAAGAATCTGAAGATGTTTCTGCCAGTCCAGCCTGTCTGAATTTCAGGCACTCCAGGGGCTTTTGTCCTCTAATGAGAGCTTCTTAGAACTCAGCAGAAAGTACTGAAATAATTCTGGTCCACAAAGAGACAGAAGCATCATGTGATTTACAGGATATTTGGAACAGACATTTTTATCTTCACTGCTGGCCATGCACTCTGGCAAAGATGGTTGATTGTTGGATTGTGGTTTTTCTTTTTTTCCCCCCTTTTTTTAACAGTCATAATCAGAATATTATTAAAGGTATTTCCACATAGTTTTTATATTTATGAATATTTAATATTGTTCTTAAAAAAAAATATTGAGAGAAGTAAGAGAAATATTACCTTTGGTGTGTTTTCCAAGAGTATTTGAAAGAAAGCACGGGCCTTAAATAATGAGATGCCTCTATCACTGTGTCCAGCTGGGATCTTGCATAGAAAATACCTGAGGTGAAAGAACTGCGCTCAAGATCAAGCTCCCAGGGTTGAAGACAACCACAGCCCAGGTTTGCCTTTCAGCCACTGAAATGGCAGCTGCTGGCTTTGGTGCTTACCTTCAACCAGTATTTCATGGATTGTTGTGTCCTTATAAAACTTGAAATATTTGCCTTTTATATATGATAACTGCATACATGATTAATTTCTTCTCAAGATAAATGTTAAAACTGTGTCTTTATTCTCAAAGGGGCTCCTGCATTTTACTCATTCTATGGGCTGATAATGTTGAATGGAGGAACATGGTCACCTGTAACTCATGAAGAATTTGAAGAAGCACAGATCTACTATTAAGGACATGAAAAGATATTTTCTTTCTAAACAAGCTATGCAATCTCTCCCATAAAATGCATAAATGCAGTTCTATGTTCTTCTTTCCCCTCCAGCTGGAAATCAGCTAGATCTTTTTGGTTATTTTTTTTTTTACTTCCAGTATTGTTTAAGTACTGGGGCCTGAAGACAATCATATGTATATTAATTACTGTTCTAACAGTTAATAGAAGGGCTCTGTCATTTACATGGCTTCTGTATCAAAGTCATCACAATTAAAACTTTTGAAGCATTCTGTTGTGCTTTGAGAATTTTTAGGCTGACCACATATTAATTTCCTTTCTGATCATTATTTCAACTACTATAAAGTTAAATCTTTCAAAAGATGAAATGTATTATATAGAAAACCGTTAAAGTAGAGAACCTAACCTGTTTATCATTTCTGTAGGGATGGTGATGCTTATCTACCTCAGAAACTCTTCTGTGTGGTGAGCTTGCAGGGTAGCTTGCTGTTCAGATTTACACACTATGAATAAAGAAGAAATATTTCTCTAGCTGTATGTGTGTACATTAAAAGTTTCAGCGGAAAATTTCGATGTTCAAGGTATACAGCTACACATGACAGACATGTCTAAGATTGCACAGTGAAAATGACATTTGTATATTAGTAATAACAAGTATTTTTAATAGATATCTTAGAGTTATCGTGTTCAGTGATGTTTATAGCATTTTAATGCTTCCTCCTACTGATTTCTGTTTAGATAAAGGAATTAAAATGTGAATCCCTTACCAAAGTTAAAATTAACAGAAATTAATCCTCATATTCAGTTCTGATTGAATACAAAGAGTGAAGCCTGGTTTTGATTTTGAGCAGATTAAGTTAGATGTATTGGCTGATCCAAGCTATTTGCAAGACTGGCATTAAGAGAGATTATGTTAAAGTTCCTGCCTATTAATTGAAATATCTGCCTAATTTTTTAAAAATTTATTTCAAGAGAGACATTTCATCTTGGAAGCCTTGTGAGGTGTGTAGGAGGAGATGATTAGAATGTATTGTTAAAATACCAGGTTGCAAGATTCAGGATCAGATTATCCAAACAAAAAGAACCCGGTGCTGATGACGCAGGTCAGTTCCTCTTGGCATCACATTCTTCTGTGTGTTAAGATTGTTATCCACTAAAATTCCTGTGTTCCTGACACTGTGCCATTCCTGGGTTATATCATACTCCCCTCCTAAAGGACGAGTGGCCTGGGATGTGCTTAGTGTGCTGTTTCCCTGGGCCCTCCCTGACCTACATGTTACAAAGCCCTCAGGAGACCCTTGAGCTTGCAGCCAGATGTTTGACCTTGGAGTCATCCATCTGAGCTGAGAAAAAAGAGGAAAAATAATTAGAAGCACATTGTGGAGAAACATTCTTGTCCATAGAGACAAGTTTTAGTAAAATCCTGCAGATACAAATGCGTGCAGCTGTCCTAACCGCCTTTTATTTTTCTGACTTACTTTCATGTTCCGTAACAAAAACCAGAGCAGCACTGTGTGTCCCTGGTGTTTGAGAGAGATCCGTGCATTCAATCCTTCAACACTGCCTAGTGGTGGGTGAGTATTTCCAGCACCTGATGGCAAAGGTGAGGGAGAGATTTCTGAAGAGCTTTGTAGTACTTGTGCTTTCACAGTTGTCTGTAGCTGGATGTCTTTCTACTGGCAGTTTTCTTACAGCAAGCCTGTTGAGTGAGTAGTTCAGTGTGATGCAAATTTAATCCTGTCACGAGATGACAAACTTACTGGCCTTCGGCAATTGTATTAGTGACACAATCTAAAAGATTCTCCAGCAAGTGTTTCTTCAACCAGCATTACTCTAGAAGAACTATCAGGCCATGTGGAAATAAACAATAAGAGGTTTAGATTTAAAACAGTTTTGGATTTGGCCCAAAAAGAAGAGGACATACATTTTGAATTGCAGAAAAGTGTTAAATATAAACAAACATTACTGTATTCCTTCAAAACTTGACAAAGAAAAATTAAAACCATTACCTAAAGCCTCTATGTCTTGGTTTGAAAAACAGAGGTGTCTGCTAAGGAAGACACAAACCTCCCTTGAAATAAATAAACATGTAAACCATCCCCCCCCCACCTCTTCAAAATATTATAATCTTGAAATCAAGGTGATCTCAGGCATGATATGGGAATAGGAATAACAGTTCTTTACTAAAAAAATAAAAATGCAGTAGTAAAAAAAAGAAGACTAAGAAAAAACAAAATCAAACAAACAAACAAAAACCAACAAAAAAAACAACCCACTGACAGAGACAGAATACAACCTGCCACCCAGTTGGTCAGGGTGTTGGTAGTAATCCTTCTGGAGTGACAGATGTGGTTCTGTTGAGGCAGTAATCCTGCAGAAGGGTGTAGTTTTCCTCTGAAGGTCCAGTGTGTAGATAGGTTTGGCATCTCCTCTGGGAATCCAGTAGAGAAGGGCACCTTTTCCAGGTGGCAATTATATCCAGGTAGGAATGCTTGGCTCCTCCCCCTGGGTGGAGCATCTCCCAATGGGATGCTGGAATTTTATCAGTCATGCAGTGAGACTCAATGGCCCATAAGCAGAAGGTTTTCACCTGGAGGGAGAATGGGTTGTGGAAGAGATAAACAACACTGCCCCACCTGATTTTAACAGCTGCTAATAGAATACTCACTTCTGGTTACATCTTGCATTGCAATCCATCAAAACAGCTGTGTGTGTTATCTCTCATTTATATACAGTTAAAGCATCTTGGGGACAAAAAAAGAGTTCTGAAAGTCAATAAAACAGTATCAAAAAGTAAAAAAATAACTTGGTTATTTTAATTGATCATTGTTTTAAGGAAATACTGTAAGCCAAGATTGCAACAGCATGCAGGCCTGAAATCTGATTTGCATTACTTCCACATTAATCCCCAGTAACTGCTGACTTCAGTGGAAATAACTCATGTCTGTAATTGGATCTGTGTTGGGGAAAGTACTTGAGGTTTTGCTGCAGTTCTTTGTGCCCTCTCATGACCTTTTAATGTAATGTTAAAATGCTGAATGTTCTTTTCTTAACCTATAACCACATGCTCCTCTTTGTCAACAGGCTCACTGTTGGAATCTCTTGCAATTTCTTGCAGTCACAGAGTAACAGTCTACTTTCCTTGCCTCCCCAGGGCTAATTTTTATCTCCTTGTGCTTGCTAGAGGCACTTACAATAAAACCTCACAAGGTGACACCATACTACCATGGGAAGTCATAACTTCATAACTTCATTTAACAGTTGAAATGTCCCTGAAATACAGAATACTCTACAGAATCTATGATGCCACAAACAAAAACATGAAACTGGGTTAATTACTGATTTTAAAACTGCACATAATTACAGAAAAAGTTTTGTATTTCTCAACAGCATATCAATAAAAATGTGTTTTAATAAAGTCCCTGAAAATTGACATGTATATTAACAATTTAAAAGGGATTTTCTTGCTGAAACTGCAAAAACTCATATTCTAGACACTTGAATAGGTCAAGATTATATTCTAAAATAACAATATAACACAGAGTTTTTGTTGTGGATGGAAAATATTATGCTCTCAGAATCCCCAGTAAATCAGTTTGGGCTGAAATATCAGCAAGATTAAGAAGAGTTTATAATGTTATTGCACAATACACCTCGTCTGGGACAGATAATGGAGTGAAATTTGATGAGGAAGACATTAAATATAATAAAATTATAGTTGTTCATGTCCTTAGGAAGATGTGTGTCTGAGACAGAAGTACAGAACACATGAACAGTCGTTCAGTTGTTCTCTTTTGTCTGTCATTTTGTAGTTTTGAGTGTCTTGTAGAGATGTTAGTGTCACTGACTGACTATCACATTCTCTTTGGCAGGGAAATAGAGGAGACTGTTCTTGGTAGAATTGAAAGAGCATCAGCATTTCAGATAACAGTGTCTTGATTTAACTATTAAGTTCTGCCATTCTTGTCTGTAAGACACTTTACAATCTGAACTCCAAATGAAATTCCCCACTGCCCTTTCTGCCTCTATTGGCAAGGGCAGTGAGGAGCCCAGGTGTGCCAGCCTTGGGTGCTCTGCAGTTGCAATGCAGATGAGTCCTTCCTTCTGCTCTTTCCCAGTCAGGAGCTGCTCAGAGCCAGATGTTTTCATGCACAAAGCCCTGATGGCCACTGTACCCATTCTGCAGGTACAAGCTCCATGGCTGCTGGTTGCATGCTCACAAGCCCTGCAGCACAAGGCACCATGTGTATCCTCCTCTCCAGTTCCTGCACAGGCAGCTTTGGGCTGGATGTGCCTGCAAATTTAGGGCAGAGTGGTTTAACTCTATTGAAGAGGGTTATAGGCACCAGGCCAGCCTCCTCCTTTTTTCTAACTGTAACTTTTCTCCACTGAAGTCAGTGGATGTGGCAGACTGCCAGGAGCAAGGCAACTCATTGCTGTGGGCCTAATCACAGCTTGGGCAATTCATTAGGGATCAAGCTTGCCCTGTGCTCTGCACACTGACTGACAAACTCTGGGAAATGATAGCCACTGGTTGGAGGGGTGGTAATTGAAGACTTTGACCTGGTCTCTCATGTAGAGGTCTGGGCAAGCAAGTACAAGGGGCTCTGTTGACTTGAGGGAAATGGTTTATATAAGTATTCATCTGTCCAGAAGTGAGATCCAGCTTTTTCATAGCCCTCTCATTCCCTTGGTTGTTATGGTTCTGGGCTGCTCCTCACATCATCCTGGAGGCAGCACTTCACAGACAGTGAATTCATGCTGATCATTAATAACTTTTTATTGGCAATCTAATATTCAGAGTTACTTCAATGGCACTTAGAAATAAGTTGATATTAACCAGATTTTCCCCCGTTCCAGCTGAAATGAAACAATCTCCTACTTAGATATCTGCTTATAGAATCAGAGAATCACAGAAGGGGCTGAGCAGACCCCTCAGGACCATTTAGTCCAGCTCCTGGCCCTGCACAGGATATGCCAGGAGTCACTCTAGGAGCTTGAGAGTGTGGTCCAAACTGTTCTTCAACTTTGTCTGGTTTGGCGCTGTCACCACTGTCATTGTGGACTAGTAGGCCTTGAGAGGAAAAAGAATACTGGTATTTCAACCAAAATGGTAATTTGGGTTTTCTGAAAATTATAATTTTTTTTTTTTCCTTTGTACAGATAAAAAGTTCTGCATACAAAAAGCTGTAGATTCAGAAAGAATTCCCTCTAGAAGAAGTTTGAAACTGAAAGACTTTTACTGTACTGCCTAAACAAATAAATTAATTGATGTGTATATTTACAGAAATAAATTCAATTACAGGAAATTCAGTGAGGCCTTTCATATGTTTAAAATGTTTAATCTCTTTTACGGCCATTTTAATGACCATTGTTCTCCTAATGTTAGAACCAAATATGATAAGGAAGTATAGAAAAATTCCCTATAGTAATTTCATACATCCTCATAATGACAGTTGCATTAGAATTTGCATTTACAAATCCCTCTTACTGCAAGTCTTTAAAATTTGGCTTTCTGCAGAATTTGTTTGCAAATATTCCTAGTGGAATGACTTATTCCCATGTGACTAATTCTCAGCATTTTTCCCATTCCAGTTATCTCTAACTGAAAAAGCAGAGGGAATAATTGATGTCCAGAGATGTTAATGTGTTTTGATGTATTTTCATTCCAAGAAACTCACCAAGTTAAACAGTGGGTTATTAATGCCATACATTCGGCCTGATTGGTTTAGAGGAAGTTTTTTTGTCACTGTGATAATTCTGTAGTAGGCAGAAATCCTTGGGTGCCAGATCTCCACAGGACTCCTACTCACCTCAGTAGGGAGGCTTCAGAAGAGGTCCTTAAATAATATTTTGCTTTTTTCGAGCATGGAATGCATAAACAAAAAATCAAAACCTGCAGATAATTAATTATTCTGTTTCTGAAGAAATACTAATATGCAGACAGAGATGGAAAACAGATTTACTGCAAGTATTTTTACTGTCTCATTCTTTATGAGACAGTATGTAAAATGGAAGAAAACATTAAAACTTTGTATGACAGATAAGGAACTGTAGAGGAACTGTAATTATCTCTAGTATGTCCCTTTTATTTTGAAGAGCTTATTAAAGCAGGAATAGCTAATCTGAGAGTACTGGAAAATACAAAAAAAATGTTCTTTGCAATTTCATCTGTATCTGACAAATTTTGTTTGAAAGTCTAGGCTTTACTACACTAAACAAAGAACACTGGAGTTCTCATAAAGAACACAGTCATCAGAGTTCTCACTCTATTTTTATTTCCTGTAAATTGTACAGAACTCAGCTAACATTACCTCTTATTTGCTTGCTTGAAATGAGGACATTGTGTATACAAAAGAGGCTGCAGACTTCCCACTAATGCCACTGCTCTTGGCATTATGAGTAAGCATTTGACAGAACAAGTTCTGGTAAAGCCAGAGGATTAAACAATATCTTCATATTTTGACCAAACTCCTTCTGGGAAGAAACCTGCAGATTTGTTATATCAGTTTGAAAATAACAGGGTGCCCTTTGAAGATTCACTCTTATTCGTATCTTCAGCAGAGATGGGGTAGAACACCCAGTGTTTCTGCAGTTCCTCTGTTGTATTCTGGAGAATAACAATGCAGGGAGAATTGAGCCTGTTATCTGAGAAGAGCCTTGCAAAAACCTTGATTTAGTAAAATGAAACTCAGGAGATTATGAATTCTGATGAAACACAGGAAGCTTGATTCAGTGACCTGAATTTGGAACCCTACAAAACCTTCTACCTTTTCTTATCCTATTTAGCTAAGATATAAAGCAGGTGGAATTATTTAATTGATGTCTGATTCAATAATCTACAAATGTGATTCTTTGTGGCCTTTAATTCTTTTTATATTTCACTAAAAAGGGGGGAAATGAAGGGTATGTCAAAGGAAAGAAAGTCAGGGGCATTTCCCTGGATGTTTAATGATTTATTCTGCTCCCAAGCAGGATCTTCAATCACCTCCAAAACTGCTGAGACCAGTTTCTCAACTTTTTTATCTTAGAAGGCCATTATAGCAGTAGGAGGAAAAGACAATCCCAACAATAATTTTAAATCAAGATTCACAGGTGATTTCATTTTTGTGAATGGGATTCCCTTTATATTTAAGACTATCTCTCTTTTATATGTTTTTGATAACGGTGACACTGGGGTAATATTACTGGATGCCTGTATTTTCTGTTTTTTCTTTTTTGAACTTATGAAAAAATTTATATCCTTTCTTTAATGATTTTTCTTAGCTTACAATAGAAGTTTGGGGGGGTTTTGTCAGCTGTGATTTATAATTCTCTGTGATGCATAGCAGGGATTTACAATTTGTCTGGTTTTCAACTTTTATCTATGAGCATAATGAACTGCTAAATAGAATTTGTTTAAACAAAAATAAAATTATATTCAAATGCTAGTACCACTGAGAATGAAATTTTGGCCTAATGCTTCTTTCAATGCACATGGTAAGTGAAAGCAAATGAAGAGAATAGAAATAGCTACATGTGCTTCTGGAATACTCCAATTACTTTTTGAGAGTAAACACATTTTTATTTTTTATGCAGAGTTATTTGTCTTGTCAGCCAAAAGTGCTATAACAAAAATACTGGTTACATTTTAGGAGAGAAAACCACACCAGAATAAAAGGGAATTTCAATTATTTTAATGTTTGACAAGCTTTGTAGTCCTTTTGGGAGTATAACAACTGTCTCACTGTGTAACATTGGCTTTCCTGTTGCATTATGCTTAGAGTTATGTGCACACCAAAAGCTTCACTGACTCTGGCCTCTGGGCAGGAGGCAAATCTTGTCTTGTGATGTGCTATTTTTGTTTGTTTTCTAGACTTTTTTAGCAACAGAATGTCATCTCTGCATCCTGGACATGAAAACATGGAAGGAAAAAGCAGGTAAAAGTTATGTTTTCATTTATATTCACCAAAAAAACTTAGAGATAAGTTGCTGTCATTTGCCAGTCCACATCTGGATCTCTTTGTGAAAAAAAGGGCATAAATAAAATGAGGAACTAATTTCCCAATAAGCTTACACAAATCAGCTGTGAAATTAGGGGATTCTCCTGCTATGAGTGTAGTAAGGAAGCTAAACAGAAAATTAAAAAGGGAAGTACTGAAAGCAAAAGTTTTGAGGATTTGGGATCCTGCTATTCTTTGATTTGCTGCAGGACATAATCACTGATAGCCAGCAGGAGTCATGGGCACTCAGCACACAAAGAACAAGGCCACACTTTACTACACTGATGAATGTAACAGATCAAGGATAAGTGCTGGGTCACTTCAACTTGTCTAAATTACTAAGATAAGAAAGCAGCAGCTTCTAAAGAGAATCAGTGTATCCCCTGTGTAAGTCATGCTCCTGCAAATGACACTTGCCAACAAAGAGCATAATGAATACTTAGTATTTGGGGAAGAAGAGACTGAGCAGTATATATGGAAGGAACATTACTGACCTGTTATTAAAGCAGGATCAACCCTTCTTACTGTCCACATTTACTAAAATAATCCTAAAAGAAAAATGTCTAGCCTTAATTTGCAATGTGTAATCTTTCAGTGGATCCCACTTATGTCATGTGAGTTGACTGGGGAGGTAACTTCCTCACCTCATTTTCTATAACAAATAACTCATGTTTTCCTGCTGGCTGAACACTGGTTATTTTCTCACTTGGCACATTCCTTGTCCAGAGGCGACAGCCACAGGGGAGGACTTGAAGAATGCTGCAGTTCCTCATGCCAACATCCAAGTTGAACTTGTGGACAACCATACCAAATATTCAGGTGCTTTATATCCTTTATACACTTTACCAGAGAATGAAAGCATTTTCTGGCTGATGAGACAGTTACTTTTTAATGATAAATTCATTAAGGCATTTAGAAATGAGGACAGAGTGAGAAGCTCTGGAGAATCTACGATTTCTGGGTAACTGGAACTTCCAAACTGTCAAAATTCAGTCAGATGCTATTTCATAAATAACATTATATTAACAAAAACACCATAGCGCATATCAGCTTCAACAACAATTCTGACAACAAACCTTCCTGGCTGTATTTAAGGGTGAAAATGAAAGGCTGTATGTCATTTAACATGGAACAGTCTCCTCCCATTTTTGGATGAATTTACCACATCAGACTGTTTTCTATATTAGTACCATAGCATTAGGCACGTTTAAAGGAAACACGCATATACTATGTTCCAAATATGTTACACGGAGAAATGAAGTTACGAATGCCTCCCTGTGGTAGCCTGGCGTCTTCACAGTCAAGTTTCCTATTTTAGAAATTCCTTATTATTAACACCAGAAGTTCCCTAGAGCCCAAAACGTGCTAAACATTTCAGTGAAAAAATAATGGGAGTTTGGTCTGTAGTCATTCACAAGCCTAGTCCCTGTAAAAACCAGCTTTTTACCCACTGATGCCCCTGCATTTTCCATATATTTTCCCCACTCCTTCGGCTGCTGCTGCGATGCTGGGCAGGGGGATACGGCTCGGAATGGGAAACAAGAGAAGGGTTTTAATTTGATCATAGGCCAAGGTGTGATTTGGAAAACTGTATTTGATTCGGTCAGAGAAGTTCTGGAGTCCCGGAGCACGAGAGCACGGGACGGTCCGTGCGGAGCGAGGCAGGGCCTTCCCACGTCAGCAGAGGCCGATTTCCTGGGGCAGGGCCGCGCCCGAGGCGGGCCGGGGCTCCCAGCGNTGCATGGCCCCGGGGGCGCCGTCACCGTTCTCAAGGTAGGCCCGGGCCGGGCGGGACCTCATCCCCATCCCCATCCCCATCGCCGCTCCTGTCCGGGCCCCGTCCCCATCCCCGCTGCTGTCCTTGCACTCCGCCCGCCGTACCGGCCTGGCCAGCCGGGCTCCTCCGCCGCGTCCCTGCGGGCTTGTGTAGGAAGGAAGGTTCAGTGTTTCGCAAACGCCGCGGAGGTCAGCAGTACCGGGGTGTCTGTAAGTTGCGTCTTTTTCCTTTACGATTTCGTGTTTACAGTGCTCCTCTCTGGGGGAGGAAATGCTTCTACTGAACGCGGGCTGAGCGGGTTCTTTGGAATCGTCTGGGCAGAAAAAAGATTTCCACAGAAATCTGATGGGTTGGAGTTTTGGAAGTTTGGAAGGAGTGGTCGGCTTTCAGTTTTGGAGTATTTATTTTGAAAAGATGATGCGTGGCAGGATTCTGCGTCTGGGCTGCTTTGGGAGGAAGGAAGAGGAGGGAGAATTGTTTCCTCGTAGTAGCAGGCGCTGCTTATCGCATTCCGTTCAAGGACTCAGATTTTCGTAGGACGTGAGGTAAATGTTTTGACCATTTAACGTATCTTTCCTCTATTGTCACGCCTAGGAAAATAAAAAAACCCAAACAAACAGGGAAACTATTTTGACTCAGTAAAGATGAAATAAATTATTCTGAGTATCCATTACTTTTGAATTCTGTTAAGGCAGATTTGTGTCCTTCAAGGAACGTTCTTCTGCACAGAATGCAACTTTTCACTCAACTGTGTACTTTCTGAGCAGCATTCTTAGTCTTAGAACATGATCCATTAAGTGTTAAACAGTAGATTTCCTACTGAATACTGGAAAATACCTCTTACACACTTAACAGTGGAGATCTAAGCAGTCATAATATCTGCTGGGACTGTAGAGTATGATTGTATTAAGCTCTTCAGCATTCTGTTTTGATGAGTGTCGAAACACAGTTAATATGCTTTACTGGAGAATAAGAAATTTATTTACCTAGAAAACTAATACAATAATAATTTTAATGATATTTGCTTAGATAAAAGCAGTGTAATCAGTTGCATACAATCACATATAAAAACTGCTTCTGTATAGCTGTAAAAGATTTTATTGCTTTCAATGAATCTGCCTTTACAGCCAAGTGTTTGTGTTATGGACATTAAAACTGCAGACTTGGTTTAAGCTTTGCTTTTCAATAGTTTGAGGGTGTTTGTGATTTTACAAGGAAATCTTCAGAAGTATTTTGTGTTGAGGGTGCTTTTTGTATAGGAGGACTTCTATTGAGAAACACAGGATTTGTGAGGGTTACAGTGTGAAATGCTATCTGCCACTTGTATGATAAATAGTCTGTCAGAACTCTGGCAGCAGCCTTGGGTGTCTTCTGCAATCACAAAGACACAAATCATACTCAACACTGATAAACAAATGTAAGACATGAGGGGTTTCTTTTTCATACTTTCATTGGTATCTTTTGGTCTGTGATGTTACTACTCTGCCCATATTTTGTGTTAATTTTTTTCTGGTAATTTCTAGGAAAGAACCTGCATAGATTGGAACTTTCTTCTTGTTTCTCTTTTGGGGATTGAGAAACGGTGGCAGTTAAGTCAAATTGATTTCTGCAATTAGCAGAAAAAGATCATTTTGTGTTGTGATGCCCTAAAGCAGCCAAGTGATTGTCCATAAAAATGCTGTTATGTTGTAGGTGTATTTTATAGTAAGGAAGGAGTCAGTGAAAATCTTAGGGGATATTGCAGGACCAACTGGCATTTTGTGGCCATGTCATTCACCAAGGAACAAGGTTTTTGCAGCTGAAATTAATTTTCTTCTATCCAACATGGTAGTTCTCAAAGGCCTTTAAAAGCATCCTTCAGCTAACTTAGGTATATGTAGGACTGCAAATTAATTCAAGATGGTAAACGAAAAAAACCCAAACAATCCAACCCCTCCCCCTCTAATCCAGCCTGTGTTAAAAACAAATGTGATTTAGTCTATCAGGAGAACATTACACACAGAGCACAAGGAATAAAATCAAGTCCATGTATTCTTCTGCCTGCTACTCACATGCTTTCTTTTCCTCAATTTGCTGCTTGTTCAAAATTTCCACATCTTGTGATCTGGCCTTTCCCATTCAGTGTAATAGACTGAGAAGAGCAATAAAAAATAAGCTGCTGGAATTCCAGATTGAAATGATGATGTTGTTGAGGAATGCATTATTTCTTATAATGCCGCAGTTTCTTGTTAGTGTAATGATTCCATCATCTGGATTGCTCAGGCTTTTGTCAGGTAATGGGAGTTGAGAACTCTGTGATGTACTCTAGCTTTGTTTCCCAGATAAAAATTTTGGAAAAAAAATATATTTTACAGTCAATTTATTTGCCTTTACAGCAAATAAAGCAAAATGTTCATATTTTAGAACTGTGCATAACCAACCTGCCACTTGTGTGATTGTGTTTTTTCTGTACATTTCCAATAAGTACAATAGAGCAGAAGAAGCCAAGTGTGTGAAAATCTTTTCCATTTAAATATATATAACAGATATCATCCCTTTAGGTAAAAGAGCACAGAAAACTGTGTACTTCTTGAATTATGGATAAATTATATTTGAGAATATTTTCAAGGAAAGGTATGCAAATACTATTCCTGCAAATACATGCTATAACACAGAATGCTGCTAATACAGTCAAATGAACATTTGGCCATGTTTGCACAGCAAGGCCTTGCATTAAGGGGGGAAATAATTAACATTACGAATATATATAAATGAACAAAGGCTGCATTTCTCATTTATTTTTAAAACAGTGTCTTGTAGTGATACATTTTGCTTGCTTCTGAAAGAAAGGAGCTCTGGCCAGTGATTCTGGACTGTGTGTCTGGTCACTTGTGTGGGTAAATTCTCTGTGAACAGTGGTGAATTGGGAAGGGAACAGAAATTGCACAGAGTTGTGAAAGAAAATAAATTTTCTGGGCTATTGGCCATGTGTAAGCATTCCAGACACTGCAGATTTCAGGGCCCTGATGCTTGAAAGTACTGGACACCAAACTTGCTGAACTAAGAGTGGCTTAAGAGCAGTTGCTGTAATTTGTCAGTGATCTCGAAGGATTCAGCAGCGATCAGTGATGTTGAGCTTGAACATTTTGCCCCAAGGCCTGACACAGCATAGGAGGGAGCTCAGCACTCAGGGTGGTTTGGTGTCTGAGCTGATGCTTTTTGCTGTAAACTTTGTTGGTTAGTGGTTGCAGTGCTTTAATTAAAAGTTGGGCTGCCCTCCAGAAGAAGCCATCTGGCTCCAAATTTGCTGTTTGAGCATAGCAGGAATAGTAAATCTTAAGAAATGCAAACTTTCTGGTGATGTTCCCTTTTTACAAAGTAGCTTGAGGGAGAGTTTGTCTGTGTTCAGGAATGTAGCAAGGCTTTTCATGAGATTTCTCAAAATGCGAGGTCTACTTGTTCCATTTCTTCAGACATTGAATGTTTGATGTTGGTATATATGTTCCACCAGTGAGTCCAGATAGAGGATGGCAGTGGATGGATGTTTTCCTCAAATAATTCTTCTGTTTGTGTCCTGTCTGCATCAGAAGGTGTGACAGTTCTACACCATTTTTAGTGGGAGAATATAGGGGAATATTTTAAATTAAATTATAGTAATTTTCCATTGTTTAAGTTGAAACTATATGGTACTGTATGACTCTTCACTTATGAGCATCTTTTGCTCCTTCTGTTGCCTGTGAGTTTGCAGCAGTACACTTGGAGTAATTCCTTATTTCTCATCAGTTTGGGTGACATTCATGGTAGTTTTTCTTCTCACAGAAATGCATCCATTAAAATGTGACTACGTGGCTCTGCAGTAAGAAAGCACCTTAGCAACACTTTAGTAGCTATAAGAATTTTTTGTGGGATTGATTGCTGCTCTGCCTAATTAAATGTTTTGACTCTCATGGTGGGCAGTAGCCAAATACTTGGAGAAGGCATGAGAAATGGGGCAAGCATGGAAGTGTTCTTTTCTTTGACAGATAAAGTGAATTA